ATTGTGTCCCAGTAAAAACATGGAACTCTTTGGTAAATTATTTCGAACAATGATCGCATAGTATCAGGGCCCGAAAAACGAATAATATATTGATAATCAATAATATCGATTACAATAGTTTGTTCATCAATTGAATGAATATAATTAATTTTATTCAATTCAATTGACCGGTATTGCATTTGTTGTTGTTGTTGCTCTATGCCAATCACAATGGCATGATCTGACCCATCTTTGGGCCAATCATGATAGGGAATGGTGTGCCAGAATTCTTCTGGCCAATAATCCGATCTGTGTTTGATATTAAACTCACAATCGGGAAAAAAGTTGATTTGTTGGAACTCATATCTACCATTGTGTCGGACTCTTATCATTTCCGACAGTTGAACGAAATCGATTGCTGGTAATCGAAACATTTTGATTTTTTAAAATATTTTTTTGACAAGGATTTGATTCGATATTTTGAACTTTTGCGAAGCGGTTTAAAGTGTTTAATTCGCGGCTAAATTCAAGAAAAACGTTGCCAAATTTATACAATTTTTTGACCAATTGTTTCAATATATTCCATGTGTGTTTTAAAATTGAATTGAATAAATAAAATTCATTTTCCGTGTGCATTGAATAATTTTTTTAAAAATAAATTAAAAATTTTTTAATCAACTTTTTTTGAATAATTTTTTTGCCTTTATTCTTTCAAATCAGTTATTATTATTGTTGATTTTTTTTGTTGGGAACACAAAAAAGATAATTTTATTCAAAATTAAAAATCAGTAAATCATAACAATTACATCTTTTTATATCAGAAAACAACACATAATTTTAACTGCAGTTTCATGGTCACACAGCATTATCACCATTCATAGACTTCGTGTCAGTTGGTTTACCGGTTTGATGTCTTTTTCCGGATTAAACACGAGGGTTTCCATCTGTGATTCTTTACTCACGAATATCGGGAAGTATGAAAAAATGAATTTTATTCAAGTTCAAGCACATATTTGTCAAGATATTATTAAGAAAATTATTTTTATTTTTATGATCAATCAAC